ACGGTGTTTCAGTACTGCCCCGCCCCTTGCCAAAGCAGCAAGTTCCGTCTGCTCCGGTTTAGTTAAGGATGGCGCCAATATTGCCATATCAATTTGAGCCGAATTCAGACCCCGAGAATATTGAACAAGAGGATCGCGTAGAACCTTTGCACGCACGGATATTGCAAGACATATTAGAGTGGTAATGTTATTGTTGTTTTTTTTTTGGTTCTAACCATGACCTCGCCCCTCCCCACCCTCCAACCATTCAAATTTCCATAGGTGGGATTTATTTGAATGATATTCTAATGGGCCGCTTTGTGATATCACAAAACCCGGAAAACAAACGCTGTAGTCCAAACGAGCCGTTCGTTGTAGTTCTTGAAAAGGGATTTTTTAAAAACGAAATATCTCCCTTTGGAGTGGACTTTGAGATTTGTAAGTTTGAAGATCTGTTTTATGCCCAAACATACACACTACACACTGACTAAAATTCAAAAAGTGAAAAAGCATAATAGGACCCCTTTAAAATTCATGTTTGAAGTATGAAATGCATGAAACAAAAACGTGAAAGTCTTTTCAAGTAATGTTAAATAGAGGCATTATTTTATACATAAATCCCGAAACATCATTAGGAAGTTCCCGAGGGAACTCGCGGCTTAAAACACCCATTTTTTTGTAGGTTTTACTAAAAACTGAACTGCTCTATAAAACGCATGCAGCTTTGCTCAGAGCCTGGTTTATTATAACTTGGAAGTCCAGCAAGTCGTGGAAGTCGTGGCCTAATGGTTAGAGAGTCGGACTCGTAACCCAAAGGTTGCGAGTTCGAGTCTCAGGTCTGGCAGGGATTGTAGGTGGGGGGGGATGTACAGGACTTTCTTCCACCTTCAATACCACGACTGAGGTGCCCTTGAGCAAGGCACCGAACCCCCAACTGCTCAACTAACTCTGGGTGTGTGTTCACTGCTGTGTGTGTGCACTTAGGATGGGTTAAACGCAGAGCACTAATTCCTAGTATGGGTAACCATACTTGGCCACATGTCACGTCACTTTTTCACTTTCAAAACATCAGTTAGCCAAGGGTCTCAGCGTCTGAGACCGTCTTATTTGCAGTGTAAAAAGGGAAATATATAAATAAATAACAAGCCTTGCAATTAAATGTTACTTCCTCAAGTTATTTTCGGAGGACATGAGAGGGAAATGCAAATTGTGTTTATGAGTACCGCAATTGTATTTTTTAAAAATCCTGTTATCCCCTTGAGGATAAGTATTGAAAGTAAGATGACAGTGTGCTGGCAGCTATTAGAGTATCATCCTGAGAATTCCTCTCTGCTGTGTGACACCACCTACTGTGACAGAATTAAACCGTAATGAGTTCATATCTTCTTGGCTTTTATTGAGGTTATGTATCACCTGCATCATAATGCTCATGTGATGCAACGTCCATGTCTGAACCAGGTGTGACTTGATTGAGGGATGTGAGATAAATCCTCTTGAAACCTCTTTCACATTAAGAGCCGTTCACACTGACAGGCGCTGTACAGCTACTCGACTGCGGTATCACATGAGCTCCGCCTTCTGCTTCCATTGGTAGTTATCACATGTAATTGCTCTTTTGTGTAAAATGTAATACTCATTGCAAATAAACAACTTTTGGTTGCTTTACCATAGCAAACCACTGTTAACTTTTGTTTTTTTAGGTGTTTTAGCAGGCGTTCCTGCTATTACTGGTGTATAATTATCTGCACTTCCATTGGTTGGTGTATTGCTACTACTTATTTGCATAGTTTTATGCAAGCTTTCTGGAAATAAATGAATCGTGTCACCTTGTCACTGTAAACTGCTAAGTAGTGTGAAATTTAATATTTTTGTTTCTTTAAATGACCACAATTTGGCCATATGAAACAAATTTTGCAATCCTAAAATATTACTCTGATCATAGACCAAAATCTGTAGTCTTTATCCACTAGTTTGACTTGTTTGTCAACAGACACATAATGACCATTAAAATTTACCTTTGGCTTCTCCTACGACGACCGTCAAATCAATACCATTAGGAACACAGAACCTAATGACACAATTAGAGCGACAACAACCAACACTTTCTCCACACACATCGACTTTTTCCTCTATGTTTCTTTTCAATACAAGCCATGACCAAAACCAAACATGTCAGCAAATGATGACGTAAAACTGATGTAAATCTTTTTGCTATTAATGAGTCTTGACTTTTTGTACTCATATTTGTCATATTATTGACAGCTGAGATCCCAATCATAAAGGACTATTATACATCATATAGTGTGCAGTTTCACTTGTTTTTCTATGATCTGAAAATCCTTGAAACAAGATACATTCACTTGAGAAGTACAGTAACTGCATATGATTTTTATTAGCATAAGACCTGTTTTCAGAGAATGCATCTTTAATATAAGGTAGGTTTGTGGTTTTTAAAGTGGCAAAGTAACACACATTTAATAAAATAGTTCACCCTAAAATGAAAATGGTCATCATTTACTTACCCTCATGTTTATATTTTGAATATCAACCTTTGATTAACACTGTTTAGACAAAAATAAAAAATAAATAAATACTACTACTACTACTACTATTAATAATAATATATCTATACAATAATACTATATCTTCCACAGAGAGTCTTGGAACAACACAAGGTTGAGTAAATTATGACAAAATGACAATATCCCTTTTAATAGATGCATTCTCTGAAAATAATATCTTACTCATGCTGCATGTATTATTTATTTATAAAAATAGCTCCAGAGAAGATGAAAAATGATCCAAAAACGATTTGACACTGTAAACTTGCATCACACCTCGTTAAAGCTTCCCGTCATCAGTGAAAACATCAGCTTAACCTGCATGTGTTGATGTGTCCACTCGCTCTGTCCTAGTTACCTTTGCCTTTTGTCTGTTCAACTACCTTCAAAATCCAACTTTGAAGTACACTGGGCCAACAAATAGAGAAAGACACTGAGGGAACGGGGAGCGGGAGTTGCTTAAAGGCATTAGCGAAGGGGAAGAAAAAGAAAAGGGGGGAGAAAAAAGTACAAATTGAATTGCCACCTCTTCTCTACTCAAATGAAGGATGGAGTGGTGGCCACTAATGTCCTTCGACAGCTAAAGGGGAATTACTGCCAGCTTGAATTTTCTCAATTGTAATGCTGCTGTTGGTTCTGATTTGATGCCAAATACCCTCTTTTCATATTTGCTCGAAGCTACTAATTCAACTGAGCGTCAACAACAGCACTGCCATCATCACTATAATGTCTAGCTGTGCAGCACCATGTGCTTACGTTTGTGTGACACATGAAAAATGGAATTACTGTGGATTATAAATCATTATAAATGCATACAAATAATACTTTCTCTATTAAATCGATTTCCAAAAATATAAACCGCACACCATGTGCATTAGCAAACATTTTTAATGTTTTGATCACTATGCTCAACTAATTAATTTTATTAATCGAGATTTAAGTGTAGTATTAGCACATTTGAAGTAAACATATTTTTGCTCTTAACACAAAAAGGCTTCTTAGGTGGCTAAATTACGCTGCGTTACAGACGTTAAATGGTGAGATAAATTATCTGAGCTTACAAGCACTAATTAAACGCTCTTTGACAACCAATAAAACAAAAAAAGTTTGAATGAAGTAGATGCACCAATAAATGTGCATTAGAAGCTTCAGGGCAGGGTTGACATTATTGTCTATGATGACAGCTAATTTAGATGATATCCTTTAAGGAAATCTTTGCTTCCAAGAAAAATGTCATGGACGTTATCACCCAGTTCTCTTGTTTGAAGTTAAATAAATATGTTAGTTCTGATATTGGAATGAATTTAATTGGATCGGTGGTAGCCGAGTTGGTTTTAATAAAGTTGATTATAAACCCCTTTCACGACCTACCCAAAATAAAAGAGAAAGAAATCTAATATTTGAATATTCCTTCACAGATTTCAAAAGAGAGAGAGAGAAGGAAAGAAAGCGAGTGATAAGGAGAAAAAAAAAGACTGAAGGGGACAAAAAGAGGACACAATCTGCTGAGGCGCGCACAACGGCCTCAAGAGAGGTATCATAAACGGCAATAACAAATAACAGCCACACACACACGCACAGATGAACGCACAAACACACTCACGTACGCGTTTATCCCTTCAGGATCCTCAATTTGCAATTAAAAAAGAAAACTGGTCATATAAGCAAGAAAACGTTTCATTTGACTTCAATTGATGCACACACGCTCGCAGACAGAGCACGCAGTGCACGGGAGTGGGTAATAGTTTAGTTTATTTATCTTAGGTCACACATGCAGTGCATTACAGTCAAACTGTAGTTGAATTCATACACAAAGCCCCAGAAGAATGGCAGCTTATTTCTTCCACGACATGATCTTATTTAATCAGGAAGCTGAAAAACAGTAAGAAGGAAAAAGAGAAGACTGTCAACGATGAAATGTTCGCTGACTGGAAGTGACATCATCATCTAATCATTATGAGAAGATTTCTTTAGACTGAAAAAGGTCATTCATTGGAGTCTCTACAATTACCAACAGCAACCACAGTCACTGTACATTTAAATGCATTTTATTTGATTCATTAGCTAGTATTAGGCTGATGTACATGAACACTACATCAAGTAAAAGGAATGTTTCAGTTAGAATATAGTTCAGTGCTTTTAAAGGAATCTGTTATGTAAACAAAATATTATTGTTTACTTCTATTCACTGACTCATTTTTCATTCAGTGAAACGTGAAGACTTTGATGGCTTTTCTTTTCTCCAAACACTGACTATATAGCAACATATCCTTGATACGACTATCTTAACAAACTAAGTTAACTTAAATAAAAAATAATTGAATCATGATTAAACACTACCTGTTAAATTTCTTGGTATATATATATATATATATATATATATATATATATATATAAGTGCTCATGTTTATTCAACGAAGTCAAAGCCTTTTGGAAAATCTATTTGTGGTAGTGAGTTTGGCCACCACAAATAAATCAATGTATGGGATGAAATGAAACTTACCTGCTTGAACTCTTTCATTTGATCCGGGTGTCTGTCTTTAAAGTTTTTTGTTAGTTTAATGTGTTTCCTCATTTTGAGGTCGCCATGTCTCAGTGCTTTTATGAAGAAAGCGCATCTGCGCACATTTCGGATAGTGCATCAAGAACCGGGTTGACCAGGTACTCGGTACTACCGGTACTTAAAAAAAACTGGTACCATAACGTTTTCATTTTTTTAGTACCGACTTGGTACCGAAGTACCGGGTCTTTTGACAACACTAATATACACATTTTAAAAATGAAAGAAACTGTTTGTGGTTATGATTGAAATTGGTTATTGATTTTAACTGAAATATGAATCACTGAACAAATCCATGAGCAAGTCAATGAACGAATCAGTGAGTGAAACTTTTCTTTTTTGCAAATGGAATAAAATGATTAAAATCACTTAATCAAAATCACTATCTCTGCTGTTCCATATTACCATAGCAATAATAGTAATACATTTTTACCTTCCAAAAAAATTGTGCCATTTACAGAAATGGACTTTTAAGTAATGTCTATGGGATCAGCAACCGTTTAAATGTGTGAATGCGCATCTTGTAGTTTGTTAAAAAGAGGTTATTCTAACAAAAATAATAGTTGTTCATTGTTTGAATTGTAAAGTTGACCAAATTGCCATTTAGCAGTTCCAAGCAGATGAAATTGTTTATTACTGATGTAATTAATCTTGAAGTATGCTCCATTTAAACAGTACTTTGCAAATAGGTACAATAACTGAAGGTGGGTATATGAAGCGAATCATATATCTTTTACTAGCTTAACATTTAATTGTTTAATTCAGTGCTCAAGTTTTGTCTGGTAAACTTTCAACAAATTGTAATTAGTTAGGTATTGTAAACTAATTTTTTTGTTTGTGGGACAACAAAGGTAATAAACAGTTACTGTTCACTTAGCATAATTTCATTTAACACAAGAACAAATACTTAAGTGCAACAAGAGTGAGTTTGAACAGTAATAGATCTTAACTTAAAGGTAAATCTTACCTGTAAGGATAACCATGATACTTTGATCTGAAGATGGACAGAAGAAAGCTAAAGAAGAACACCACTAAACCAAGTCCAACAAGACAGATAACTGTAAAAACAGAAAAACAAAAGCACAGTGAATGTCACTCTCTTAATGAGCTGAATAATGCTTACATTGATGAAACTTAATTAGTATGCTGCAATGGTATTCTATAATGGGATTAAGCCGCTGGTGAAAATCACTTTTCAAGAACTTTGATCTAAGAGCTAATCCCAAACAGCCATCTTAAATTAAGTCATTACTAATGAATGAAACAATAATCGCTACTTAAATGCTTATAAAACATGCTGAGTAAGCTGCTTTGTCCCTCAGATGAGATAGTGCCCAAAATTTGATAACCTGCTGAATCACATTATAAGGTGATTTTAAAGATTAGTCAATTAAGCCATAAACATTGCACTATTGAGGAGAGAGAGAGAGAGAGAGAAAGAGAGAAGAAAACAGCTGATTTCATCAAGGGAAATAAAATAAATCATCTACTGTATAATACTGCATGCTCCCAGAAAATTTGCTGGATTTAGCATGCATATGTAAAATCACTTTCATTTATGCACTGCTATGACAAATGCGATCTTTAATGCATCCAAGAAAGTCAGGAAATCCCATCTTCAGCCTTTTTTTTTAGATTGTGGTGAATAACTCTGATTGGGCAGTAAGTCATGTTCTTTAACATCTGGTTGTAAAATTATAATCTACATTTAACAAGTTTATAAAATTGAATTGACGTTGTATATGTTTTATTTTCTAGATCCATAGAATCTCAACAAATCTATTTAAAATTTTCAAACATCAAAGCTAGCATTTGACGAGCTGTTCATATGAAGAAGATATTACAAGATGTTTTTACAAGATTTCATATAGTGAAAAAAAAAACCTTGCAAATGGAAAACTTATTGATCCTTTACTCTCAAGGCCCTGATATACTCAAAAGTTCTTGGCAAAGTTCTTTTTCATTCTTCAGTTATGGGGTAAAAAAAGACTATGCAAGCAGCGATATACTGTTCGTAAACATTCAGACGAGATTCTGGTGTTTGATTGCAGCACATTAAAGAACCATCTTATCAAAAACTGTTTGTATTAAGTTTTTGAGGTGGCTAAATATTTCTTAATGTTATAATATGCATAGGTTGGACAAAATATTGTGAACATCCATTATTACTGGGTTAATATGAAAAAAAAGTGTTGCGATTACTTTTGGTAACACTTATTTTTGGAACACATATTCACTATTAACTAAGGGTTTTCCCTCAATAAACTCCCAATTTGCTGCTTATTAATAGTTTGTAAGGTAGAGTTTAGGTATGAAGTAGGATTAACAGATCTAGAATATGGTCATGCAGAATAAGGCATTAATATGTGCTTTATAAGTACTAATAAACAGCCAATATACTAGTAATGAATGCTAACAAGCAACTAGTTAAAAGTGCATAATGTTCCCTAAGCTAAAGTGTTACCTTATTATTATTTTTTTCTTATTATTTTTGTTTTATCGCCCGGTTTCATAGACAAGGCTTAAACCTAGTCCCAGACTAAAATGCATGTCTGGGCTATTTCAACTGAAAGAAACTGGCATCGAGTGATCTTAAAATATGTCAGATTCATTGTTTTGCCTCAAGATACACACCAGTTATGTTTTTATCTAAGGCATATTTATAAAAGCTACTTAAATGTCCTAACTGAACTGGCATAATCCTGGTTTAACCTAAACCCTGTCTGTGAAACCTGGCCTATATTCTCTAGGTTGTATATCAGTGTAGTATGTGTTCAGGACTGTTCAGTACAAACTGTGGGTGAAATGGGTGACTTGTCAGAGTTAGACACCAATGCTAAAATGCAAAAAAGATGGTCTCATGATCGTAAAACCTGAACAGTTGAAGCACCAAGATAAACAGGCCAGATACATCACCTGACTTAAATTTGATCAAACCACCAAGGACATTTTTGGAGAGAAGAGTAAGACACAGATTCCCTTCTCCAACATCTCTAATGAAATTGGCAGATGTTCTGCTAGACAACTTTTAACTGGTGACTTTTCAGAGGTTGTATATTCTAAGAACCTGTATTAAAGGCAAATGGTGGTAAAACACCTTAAATTATTTCCCAGGTGTTTACATTATTTTGTAGATCTTTTGTTCTGGGTATAGAGAAGACAGTTCTGGGTTCTTTAAAACCACAATATGGTTTCCAAAAGGCTGTGTGTATGTGCGTGGGAGAAGTCAGTGTGTAAGTAGTAAACATATTAAAGAGTGAGGCAGTGGCAGCTGCTGTTTAGCTGAATGAGAAGCTAATCAGAGATTAATCAAAGTGTGTTAACCTCCTCAAAAGAGGGGCACCTCCAATCACACCACAATGCCAGCACTGTTCCTCTCCAGATCAGTCATCCAGAAACACCCTCTTATCTTGGGTTCACACTCTCAGAATACACACACACTGAGCTTTTTATTTAAAGTTTCAGTATCTACTGAACTTCCCGTAGACTTGTTTTCAAGGCTTCATGCGACAACGTTTACTCTGAGACCTTGATGTTCTCGAGCCTATTATCATCTCCCTGACACATTACACAAGTCTTCCCAGAAGACACGCCGTAGTAGCCGCAAAAGGACTCTGCATTGTACAAAAATGATGAACATGACTAACTGAGATGTGACATTTAAAAGCTGCTAAACATTTATTTTCAGGGTCATCTGTGTCGCAGGGTAACTAATGTGATGTGGCGGGATAACGCCGCACTGGTGTAATCACATTTGCCTGACTTTCCTACAACTGCATGGAGCAGCTTGCCGTAAATGTTTTGGCGGGGGGAAGTGGGGTTTGAAACTAAAGTGTCGCTTACTCTGACAATCTTCATTTAGCATCTTCCTATTTTAAATGCTTCGAGTCAGTGTGTTTCCATGACGACTGCTGGGTTTGATCAACCACTCACTGTGCAAGTATTCTTATTCGGCATAGTAGCAATTAACATTTTAATTCACCAGAGGTTTATTTTGCAGCCTGTGCAAATGTACGTAATGTTTTAGATAGAAGTAAAAAAGAGAAAAATGATCCAAAATTATATTAAAGGAATAGTTCACCCTAAAAAGATTTTTTTCTTTTGGCCATAAAATGAAAGTCAATGGGATCCAATGTTGGTTTAGATCCCAAAATATCTAATAGGTTCCACAGAAGAAGTACACAGGTTTGGAATGACATAAGGGTGAATAAATGGTGATAGAACGTTAGTCTTTGGATGAACTGTACATCACTAATTCAAATACTAAATAAAAGGCCTCATATCGGAAGTCCAATCTGGGGTGTCGTTATCTATAAATTCTTCAATAGGTAAATCTTGTCTTGATCTTGGGTTTAAAAAGGCTGGTGACCACTGGTGTAAATGAATGCTTCATGAAAAATACTATTTGCACGTGTACAATGAGTTTTAGTTGTTCAGGTATATGATCCTTATTTATAATCATAACATGCAGTTTATTACATTGCAGCTTTTTTATCAAATATAATTTTTTTTTTTTTTTTACATACCAAACATCTGGACCACCTATCTGCTGCAAATCCACTGGCCTCCTGTTGTAAACAGTTTCAAAGCACATCCTTTTACCTTGTTTTTATCCTTTTAATACACATTTGCCTCTTGGACTAATCATTCATAACTTTTGTGTTGCAAAACATTGAGATTGTCACTCTTCACTGGCCAGCCTTTGCACTAGTTTTTACTAGTGAGTGTTGTATTCTCTCCCTAATGGCACAGCATACAATAGTTTGCCTTTGGCTATGCATTAAATATAATTTTTATGATGATGAGCCTAATAAGATACTCCATCTGCTTTCTTTACAAATGTGTTTAATGCTGTATAATGGGCTATTCCCTCTAAACTGTGTGTCCCAAATGTATTAATGTCCTTTATGAATGCATGTTAAATAATATTCAGAGTTAAATTTTAGCGACAGCATCTGTAGCATGAAACAAAATAATGTTGGCTCAATAATATTGGCTCCTTAAGTTGTAAACAGTAAGTTGACAGAGATGCACTTAAAAGTCTATGAAGCAACCACTGTCTGCCACAGACTTCTAGTGAATAATTGCCATCTACTGTTTGAACCAATGGTGTGAGTTTTGGGCAGGGCTATCTGTTTATCTGACCAATGATAGATGGGGGAGCTGCTTGGAAACTATCATTTCTGCAATTACACACTTAAATTGTATTTAACCTGGAATATTAGTTTAATTATAGGAGCTCTTCCAGTGATTATTTTGTGTACTGAGCAAAACAAAAACAGACAATTTAGTTGTCGGAAGGCAGTGGATAGGATTTTTCTGCATATAGGCTGACTTTTCTAACCCTGTTGGAAAAAAGTCAATATCTATTATAGTCTCACACAGTGTTGCATTACTCAAGCATTTTACAGTGTATTGTTATGACTGGTGCAAACAAACAGCAAGTTTTTTTTTCTTCTGTTAGGTGACTGCCTTGTGATCCATCAATGCAATGTGCTTTTTGTCCTTTAAATATCTCCAGTCACAAAACCTCACCATTTACTATCAGCAAATGCTATTGTAGAAGCATAAATAGTAAGATTAATTAAAACATCTACTGTACATTGTGTGAAACGGAAAAAAAAAAAAAACTTATAGGAACGATTTCTACTTTGTGTCACATTATAGTTTCTGGATGATACCTGACAGTGTCTGTTCTGGAAGTGACCAATGATGCTAAGATGGTGAGGCTGTGCATCCCACAAAATGTTTACTAACCAAGAACTAATTAGATTTAAGCTAACGTAGACTTCAGCAATGGTAAATTGGGAGATTTTGTATCCTACTGTATTTTCAATGAAAATGCATTGGTATAAATATTGACTTATACGCTGTTTTAGAATTGCAAAAACTGTACTTTAAAAAAATGTTCAGACAATCCACTGTGGCAAACTTCTAGTGAACACACAGTGTTTTCATATTTTCACATGCAAATGAGCTTTGCAGCAATACCATTTAAAAATATATACTGTTGAAATGTGTGAGTACCTTTTTATTTATTTGTTTTGCATTTTTTTAA